TGTGAGCAACATCTTTGCACCAATATGGTATTTCTGTCTCCTGGGCCAAGAGGCAGAGCAGTACATTTTGGGAAAGCTCTGCAGGGCCGGTCAGGACAGGGCCTTGCAGGCCAAGGAAGGATTTGGCTCTTGGTACTAAGTGTCCTGAGAGGCCACTGAAGAAAGTGGATGATTCTCATTTCAGGTGTGTGTTTGTGAAAGACCTCTGACTGTACGAAGAAAAAAATTATGGGCTGGCTCTGTGACATGAGGGAGCAAAGTGGATGGCCACTCCAGAGGCCTGCAGGACTCAGTGCCCTAGGTCTAAGGCACAATCAACTGGCAGGATAGATGCTATCACCAGGTACTTATCTGAGAACACTGGAGAGGGGCCAAATGGGTTTGGGGTTTTTTTCTAATGGTGGAGGTTTGGGGGAGATCATTAATTCGTTTTGACTATGCTGAGACACCGTGGAGATAAAGTTGCAGGGACATTACAGTCTGGAGCTGCAGAGCCAGGAGTTACTGATGTGGGGATGGCAGCAGAAGGCAGAGGCCTGCCTCACATCACCTGGGAGAGCCTGTGTGGTGAGGCCTGGGCCCAGAAAACTAGCACTGCTCAGTTACGACTGGCAAAGGCCACAGTAACTACAGAGTACCCACAGAACCCCATGTGTGTCAGCAACCCTGATGGATCAAGAGCTGTACATGTGAACTAGAAGCCAACGTCAGTGGCTCAGCTACTTAGCCCAGAGGCTTTGTCTGTCTTACGAGCCAGGAGTCAGCAGCACGAACTGCAGTGCCACACAGCTTGAGCACGCTCACATGGGGGATCACGGCCTGCCAGCCTCCTATGGTAAGCGTTTCTATGTGGAAATGGAGGAGGGGGTGTTTAGGGGAAATGAAGAAAAGGGAGCTGCAGTGTTCAGATGAGTTAATTGGGAGAAAATGAGAAAAAAAGCACTAAGGCGGCATCAAAGCAGTACCCTGACATCAGTGCAGGCTTTTCCATCTTGATCCTGATGGCTGTAATGTGGCAAGAGGCCCATTTCCGGCCATTTTGCTGGAGATCACCTGCAATGCCTGCACCAGAAGTGATGTGCACAGAGGATTCCAGCAACTCCATTTTAATAGAAAAAACTGGAAACCAAACAAGTGGCAATGAACAAATGATAGTGAATTTACAGAATCAGCTATGTAGATCAGTGAAAATAAACCACAGCTACATGTTGGAAAAAACCACATATGTAACCGTTGAGGTAGACATTGTGTTTTGAGTGATATTAAGGCATAAAGTAAACGTCCCTCTAAAAGCAAGACATTACAATGCAAAATCAGTTCCCTAAAATCGAACTCCATATAGCTTCATGATTGAATTTAGTCGAGGTCATCAAGAACTGCTAAGGCCAATTTTTTTTTTTTTTTCCAGAGTTTCACTCTCGTTGCCTAGGCTGGGGTGGAATGGGCAATCTCAGTCCACCACAACCTCTGCCTCCCAGGTTCAAGCGATTCTCCTGTCTCAGCCTCCCAAGTAGCTGGGATTACAGGCATGTGCCACCATGCCTGGCTAATTTTGTAATTTTAGTAGAGATGGGGTTTCTCCATGTTGGTCAGGCTGGTCTTGAATGCCCAACCTCAGGTTGATCCACCCACCTCAGCCTCCCAAAGTGCTGGGATTACAGGCATGTGCCACCATGCCTGGCTAATTTTGTAATTTTAGTAGAGACGGGGTTTCTCCATGTTGGTCAGGCTGGTCTTGAACTCCCGACCTCAGGTTGATCCGCCCACCTCAGCCTCCCAAAGTGCTGGGATTATAGGCATGAGCCACTGCCCCTGGCCTAAGGCCAGTGTTTTTTTTTGTTTTTTTTTTTTTGAGACGGAGTTTCACTCTTGTTACCCAGGCTAATTTTGTAATTTTAGTAGAGACGGGGTTTCACCATGTTGACCAGGATGGTCTCGATCTCTTGACCTTGTGATCCACCCACCTCGGCCTCCCAAAGTGCTAGGATTACAGGCATGAGCCACCGTGCCTGGCCTAGGCCAGTGTTTTTAAAGGCTTTACACAATCTTTGAAATGACTGCTCTATATTTTATGAACACCAAAAGCTACCTTAAAACCCAAATGAAAAAAATCATATCCATAAATATGGATTTATAGACTATACGTATTGTACAGACTTCTCTTCAGCCCCATGAGTCACAACTGGCTATGTGTCTGCCAGTGACATCTGCTCGTCTGTGTCCGATTCCAGCGTCTGACTTTTGTCATTGTTCATGGTCATCTGTGACTTCCCAGGCCTAGTACCTTCCCTAGAGAGAATGTGTGCTGAATGAGGAGCAGAAAGCGACGTGAAGTCATCACTTCTATATCAGCACAAGAAGTATTTCCTAGCAGTGGCTTCAGCACCATCTCTACTAAAGAAATAGACCTTTGTAGAAAATCTGCCAAAGAATAATCTAGAAACCACTCATTTCGAGTCAGCAGGAAGAGGTGCTTAGCGACAACAGAACTCATATGTATCTGTAACTACAACACAATCAAAATACAAAATGCAAATACCCTGTGCCCATAGGTGTATGGGCCATAGTAGAAATAATAAGACAGTGGAAACTCTAAGTTTCTTTTTTTTTTTTTTTTTTGAGACGGAGTTTCGCTCGTGACCCAGGCTGGAGTGCAATGGCACGATCTCGGCTCACCACAACCTCCGCCTCCTGGGTTCAGGCAATTCTCCTGCCTCAGCCTCCTGAGTAGCTGGGACTACAGGCACGCACCACCATGCCCAGCTAATTTTTTGTATTTTTAGTAGAGACGGGGTTTCACCATGTTGACCAGGATGGTCTTGATCTCTTGACGTCGTGATCCACCCGCCTCGGCCTCCCAAAGTGCTGGGATTACAGGCTTGAGCCACCGCGCCCGGCTTGAAACTCTAAGTTTCTAAAACAAATTGTATTGGACCAGTTTAGAGCAGAAACACTTAATTAGGGCAGTGAACTAGTATAACACAATTTTAATGCTAATGATTACCACCAGGCTTCAAAAACAAAAAATTAGGCCAGGCATGGTGGCTCATGCCTGTAATGCCAGCACTTTGGGAGACAGAGGAGGGTGATCACTTGAGATCAGGAGTTGGAAACCAGCCTGACCAACATGCGGAAACCCTATCTCTACTAAAAATACAAATTAGCCAGGTGTGGTGGCACATGCCTGTAATTCCAGCTGCTTGAGAGGCTGAGGCAGGAAATCGCTTGAACCCCAGAGGCTGAGGTTGCGGTGAGCTGAAATTACACCACTGCATTCCAGCTTGGGCAACAAGACTGAGACTCTGTCTCAAAAAAAAAAAAAAAAAAAAAATTAAAAAAACAATTCAGGCCAGGCACAGTGGTTCACACCTGTAATCCTAGTGCTTTGAGAGGCTGAGATAGGAGGATCGCATGAGCCCAGGAGTTCAAGACCAGCTTGGGCAACATGGCAAGACCCCCAATCTCTACTAAATTAGCCAGGCCTGGTGGTACACTCCTATAGTCCCAGCTACTGGGGAGGCTGAGATGGGAGGACCACTTGAACCTGGGAGGCGGAGGTTGCAGTTAGCTGAGATTACGCTGTTACACTCCAGCCTGGGTGACAGAGCAAAGCCCTGTTTCAAAAAAAAAATCTAAAACCCACAGTTCACTGTGGTTCCAACTGAAAGAAGGACCACTTTCCTATGAAAAATGAATATAACCTATAAAAGTGTTCAGTCATCAAAAACAGCCAAGCCTGTATGTGGAGATGTGGATTAAATCAGTAAAAAACCTGTCATCACCCACAATGCACTTTACGGCAGTCAGAGAATCCGTAACAAAGCCAGGAAGCTGTGCTGTTGAAGCAGGATTTTATTTCACCATTAATGGACATTTGAAACAGGCGACATAACTGTGAGCATGTGTGATGAACACGATGCTTAGGGGATTGTAGCCAATGAGTTGCAAGAAAATGAACAACAGATGAAGGACGTGGTTTGCAGCTCAGTGTTTTTACAGCATAATGGAAGTGAAAGGTAAGGTGGCCCTCGGACTCAGGAATTTTAATAAACTCTTGGTTTTTAATAACCATGGAACAATGCCCTGTAATTAGCTATAATTTACGGAGATATGGAATCTTGAACACAATGTAATGAAAACTGAAACCTCCAAGGAAGAATACAGGAAAAACAGAAGTCATAAAATAAGATTATTACTGCAAGGAACTTGTTCCTATTTGCAGAAATGAATGTAGACCTGTATCACCCCGATATAGTGGTGGGAGAGAACTTTCTGGTTGGTCTGTGGTTCTGAGTCTGATCTAGTTTCTTGAGGCTCAGTGCTTCTTCCTCTGGGCACATAAATCCCAGAAGGCTACATGTAGCCAAGACATTCCCAAGACACTAGAAGTCCCACATGTCACACCCCTGCCTTTAAAAGGTTAGCCAGTCAGGTGACCTTCTAAGGTACCTTTTTTGTTTTAGAGATGGGGTCTCATTCTTTTGCCCAGGCTGGACTTGAACTCCTGGGCTCAAGCAATGCTCTTGCTGCAGCCTCCCAAGTAGCTGGGACTACAGGCACATGCCACTGCATCCAGTTTGAGGTCCCTTTTGGGGCTTGGTAACATACACATTGGGATCACTCACTCACAATGCTCTATGGAAATTCTACCAAAATGCTTCCTGAAGGAGCAAAGACTCATCTCTTGCCACTTTTCTGGAATGTGTCTGTGGACGTCAGACTGTTCCAGGGTTTTAATTTGTTCAGTTCTTTTCTCTTTTTTTGAGATGGAGTTTCATTCTTGTTCCCCAGGATGGAGTGCAATGGGGTGATCTCAGCTCACTGCAACCTCCGCCTCCTCGGTTCAAGCAATTCTCCTGCCTCAGCCTTTCAAGTAGCTGGGGTTACAGGTGCCTGCCACCACATCTGGCTCATATTTTTATTTTTAGTAGAGATGGGGTTTCACTACATTGACCAGGCTGGTCCTGAACTCCTGACCTCAGGTGATCCACCCGCCTCAGCCTCCCAAAGTGTTGGGACTACAGGTGTGAGCTACCGTGCCTGGCTTCACAGTTCGTTTCTTTCAGAGTACAAAAGATGTAATCCTCTTAGGACCGTTAATTTGTTAAATTAACAAACTCTGAAATAAATTCCACCAACACCTCTAGGTTTGTTTTCAATAGACTAAATTTAAATGGCAATTTTAAAAACTGAAAAGCTTTCCTTGTATTTCTAGTCAACACTGGAGGCTGACAAAGATGAGACAACAGGAAACCACATACACCATCACAGGCACAACCTGTGGCTCCTTAGTATTGACCTTGAGTTGATGTTATTGATAATATATTACAAGACTATGTGACAGTGCTGTAAACACGTGCCTATCAAAGACCCTTGCTTGGGTAAGAAGGGCATCAAAGGGCCTCTCACCAAGTGCTGCAGACTCACAACATCTTAATGTCTGCCCAAACCCTGGATGCTTTTAATGATGAACCTGAGCAGGCACTGCTGAGACATCTGACAGTGCCCTGGGCACTGACTATACCAGAGCCCTGCCAAACTGCCTGGAGGCTGGGATCAGATGCCTCAGCATCCCTTGTTCTCTGTGCTTATGGTACCCATGAAGTCAGTTCCAAGCAATTTTCGGATGTCCGTAAGGCTGAAAAAAGAAAGAAAACACAAGACTGATCGGATCAGCAGTATCTGGAGCATGGGGAATTAGCCTCTTTTAACTACAAGGTAAAAGAACAATATAAATGGCTGTTTCATTTATAGCTGAAAGTCTGACCCTAAACCATATATGAAGCACTTTATAACTTTTTATTTTTAAGTACTAGCCCTAAGAAACATTTTTGCATATGGTCTGTGAAACCGTGATCCCAAGACACTCACTGATTCATGGTCACGGGGGTTTGGAAAAATGCTGTTCCCTGCAGCTCTGAGAGTCAGTGTGTGATGACATGAGTGGCCTATGGAAAACTGCAGCACCTGCTCTAATTTCGTTTCAGTTTCCAGCGTCATCTGACCATGAGGAGTCAGTTCTCATTCTGTAGCACGTGTCCTGGGGAGTGCACTCTAGGCACCAGGTGGCCAGGGTGGCCCCGGGTAAAGGAGGCAGAGGGGACAAGCCAGCACCAGGGGTGCTTTAGTCATCAGCTTCCTCAGGGCAGGAGAGGCAGCCTTTGCTTCTCTGTGCTCCCCATGGTGCCGTGCAGAGAGGTCCGAGAAACAAGACACTGGGAGGCAGAGAAACAAAGATACACACACCGGGGGGAGAAGAAGGGAGGAGGACCGGTTTCCTGATCACTGGGCTTTGCTGTCTTACCAGCTGGGCCTACTGCTGTGTCCCCTCTCAGCAACTGCGGCCACAGCTCTTCTTAGATTGCCCAAAGAGGGTGGACAGGCATGCAGCTTAGTAGGCAGAGGCCAGAGCAAAATCAACTCAAGGGCTGTTTGAGACCCAACCAAGGACTGGAACAGCCCCTGCATGAGGGCTCCCTGTTGGTCAGGGTAGAGAGGAATACAGAAGAGGAACAAGGAATAACTCGGATGGCTGGAGAGCAGAGCCCATTGCAGGGTGATGAACAGGCCAACGGAGCAGGGGCTGGGTGGAGTCTGTGTCACCATTGGTGGCCCGTCGCCTGGCAGGCTCCCTACCTTAGGCTGGTAGCCCTGCTCAGCCATGGTCTTGGCCTCCTGCTGCAGCAAGGCATCCGAGAGCTGCTCAGCCCGGCGGGACTCCTCCTCTTCCTCCTCTTCCTGCTGGTCTGCTTCCCATGCCTGCAGCCGGCGCTCTGCAACCTGGATGCCAAGAGCAAAGTCACCCCAAGACAAGGCCTATGGGGCAGAGCCCTGCCTCTGATGAGGAGGGTAAGCCTGCAGTCCTACCCGGGCTGGAGAATCCAGCTGAGCAACAGCAATGCAAGTGCCAAGGAACGGACGGGAACACGTGGAACTGGAGGGGGTGTGTGTATAGCATGTACCTCGTGAAAAGCCAAGCATGTGGCCGGGTGTTTGGAGGGCTGTTTTGTCTTATGTCTAGGGACTGAACCGAAGAGAGAACTGTGGCCCCTGGTAAGCCAACAGCTTCCAGAAGCAGACAGGACAAAGAGAACACACAGCAATGTCGGCCTCATGCCCACATGTGATGGAGGATATGGAGGAGAACGAAGCCACAGTCAAGAGGATGAGGACTGCCAGATGCAGTGGCACATGCCTGTAATCCCAGCACCTTGGGAGGCCAAGGCAGCAGGATCATAAGGTCAGGAGTTCAAGACCAGCCTGGCCAACATAGTGAAACTCCGTCTCTACTAAAAATACCAAAAAATTAGCCGGGCATGGTGGCAGATGCCTGTAATGTAAGCCCAGCTATTCGGTAGGCTGAGGTGGAAGAATCACTTCAGCCTAGGAGGCAGAGGTTGCAGGGAGCCGAGATCATGCCACTGCACTCCAGCCTGGGCGAGAGTGTGAGACGTCTTAATAAATAAAAAAAAAAAAAAAAAAAAAGAGGTGAGGACTGCAGCCGGGATTAAAACTGGGCATTGTGCTCTCAACTGCAGGCGAGCCCTGCCAGGCAGTCCAGGGCCTCTGAACCCTGTCCCATGATGATGTGAGAACCGCAGCAGGCCCACTGCCTCCCGCCCTTGGGCTCAGCCCCACCTGGGCTTCCAGCTCCCGCTTCCTGGCAGATTTCAGGTCTTCACTCTCCTCTTTCTCGCGACGAGCAGATTCTCTCGCCTCCTCGAGATTTCGAATAAGTTGCTCCCTGTGTTTCAGGGATTCCTCTTGTGCCCGTCGGTTCTGTTCAATCTTCTCTTGTATCTGCTGTTGCCTCCCTGTCAGAACCTACCCTCGGCAGAAAGAAAGGACAGCTTTGAGGTTGACCCTAACAGATCCTGGTTCTACAATCCTCGCACAGGCTGCAGCCACAGGAAAGCCCAGCCTCATCCTTGGGCCTCAGACCCAAATACACAGACAGAGGCAGAGCCACACTACAGGATGTGCTCTCACGATGTCAGCCACACTTGCCAGTATACCAGAAACATTTCCCTCACACCTCCATACGCAAAATGTATCCAGACTGTGTATTATGAAGAGACAGCTGAATGCCAAAGAGATCAAAGGAGACTGGGATGAAGCCCTCTCCCTAGGGGCACAGAAACCTTGCAGCAACAAGGTGAGTCTTACCTCCTATCAGTGAGTTCTAAAAAACATGAAAACCACAAGCACACAGACAGATGACCAGAGGCAGAGCTGGGGTTATCCCCAAATCTTTTGAACCTGCTGTGTTTGCAACCTGTCCCCAGAGCCGTGTGATACCCAAACTCCAGCCCAGCCCACAGTCAGGAGCGGGAAGCCACCTGACACTGTCAACAGTTATGCTGCAGGGCTGGGGGAAACAGAAAAGTGGCCGCCATCAGGAGGGAAATTTAAATGAGGAAAATCAAAAGCCACTGGAGAATTCTTGGTATTTACAAGAGCAAAACATCAATCGGGACCCGATTTCCTGTGGATTCCAAAGTACTGCGTACTACCAGACACAACACAGAGTTTCTCATTCTAAGCCACTTTAAAACAACTTTCAGCTCATGGATAACTAACTCTCCTCTCCTTCCAGATTTCCCTGTGGTTGGTGTGTGTCTTCCACGGATGGTGTACACACTGACCAGGAAAACAGTTATGTTCTCCAGTTTATATCTGTCTTCTATCCCAAGGGGGAAAACGCATGGGAAGAGCCTCATGTACCAAGATGCTCCCTGCGGTGTTTCTCAGAATGGCTCCGAATTAGAAAAATAGCACATCCAGCCGGGTGCGGTGGCTCGCGCCTGTAATCCCAGCACTTTGGGAGGCCGAGGCAGGTGAATCACATGAGGTTAGGAATTTAAGACCAGCCTGGCCAACATGGTGAAACCCTGTCTCTACTGAAAATACAAAAACTAGCTGGGCATGATGGCAGGTGCCTGTAATCCCAGCCACTTGAGAGGCTGAGGCAGAAGAGTCGCTTGAACCCAGGAGGCGGACGTTACCGTGAGCCGACATCGTGCCTTTGCACTCCAGCCTGGGTGACAGTAAAACTCCATCTCAAAAAAAAAAACAAAAAAAAAAAAAACAAAGAAAAACACATCCACAAGAGGGAACGAAAAGGCAGAGGGAGACAGACAGAGGACAGTCTGCGATACAGCCCTTGACGTGGCTTTTATAAAGATGTAACAGCATGTTACAACACCTAAAGTAAAACAGCACAAGACAATTAAAAATACATGTGGAAAAAATGTCAGGCATGGAAACAGAAGAGCAGAAGGAAGCAGCAGCTATGGCTGTGTACAGGACGGCACTCGGGGGACTCTTTTCATTTCTACTTTCTGTACTTCTGAATTTTTTTCTAGTAAGTTCATATTAATTTTCCAATGATTTTTAAGGCCCACTTAAAATGACCAGAGAAGACTCTGTTCCCAGAGCATCTGGCAGGGTGACTAACCAGACTTCCAGACACCTGCCCAGGACCCAACAGCTGGTTCACATTGCCGCAGCTGGGATTACCTCGCTCATCAGTCTGTCCCGTGCGCTGCGCTCTCGGGCCCATTCTGCCTCTCTCTTTTCCCACATCTCCTTGGCCTCCTCCCTGGGCAAACACAAAAGGGATGATAGCAGGCTCCTCTCCACCATGGCAGGAAGCGAGCTACGGAACAGACAGGGCTGCAGGGCACATGGCTTCTGCAGGGCCGCCCTGCAGATAAACATCCACACGCATATTGAAAAGATTACATTAAGGACAGCACCCACAGACAGTACTGTTGGAAGCTTGTTGTTGCTATTGTTTTAGATGGAGTCTTGCTCTGTCGTCCAGGACAGAGTGCAATGGTGCTATCTCGGCTCACTGCAACCTCCACCTCCCAGGTTCAAGTGATTCTCGTGCCGCAGCCTCTTGAGTAGCGCCACCACGCCCGGATAATTTTTGTGTTTTTAGTAGAAATGGAGTTTCACCACGTTGGTCAGGCTGGGCTTGAACTCCTGATCTCAAGTGATCTGCCCATCTTGGCCTTCCAAAGTACTGGGATTACAAGCGTGAGCCACCACACCCAGCCCTGCTAGAAGTATTTTAAGTCACCTTTTTAATACCCATCTCCTTATAAAAAGCAATTGTGGGCTGGGTACGGTGGCTCACACCTGTAATCCCAGCACTTTGGGAGGCCGAGGCAGGTGGATCACAAGGTCAGGAGATTGAGACCATCTTTGCTAGCATGGTGAAACCCTGTCTCTACTGAAAAAAAAAACATTGGCTGGGTGTGGAGGCACACGCCTGTAGTCCCAGCTACTCAGGAGGCTGAGGCAGGAGAATTGCTTGAATCCAAGATGAAGAAGCTGCAGTTAGCCAAGATCGTGCCACTGCACTCCAGCCTGGGCAACTGACCAAGACTCCATCTCAAAAAAAAAAAAAAAAAGCAATTGTGATGACTTACACCATGACAGTTTAACACAGACAGAAATGAAACCATCAGGACCTGGAGAGGAGGGCATGGCCTATGCCTGAGCCCTGGCCACCAAGCGCCTGTGTCACTGCCAGCTCACCCTGGACCGAGTAACCTCCTCGAGTCTCCGTGTCTCACAGGCCACCACTTGGCTGAATGTCAGGATTCAGTAAGATGAGGCCTGTAAGGCATTTAGCAGTGTCCAGCATGCAGTAAGTGCTCAATGTATTCTATTTATTATTCAATGATTTTGATCTACTAGTTTAATCTTTAGGACCCAAACTCAGTTTTATTTACATAAGCAGCATTCAACATCTCTATAAAAATTTCCTTCCAGCAGGGCGCGGTGGCCCACGCCTGTAATTCTAGCACTTTGGGAGGCTGAGGGGGCTGGATCACCTGAGGTTAGGAGTTTGAGACCAGTCTGGCCACCATGGTAAAGCCCCATCTCTACTAAAAATACAAAAATTAGCCGGGCGTGATGGCTCAAGCCTGTAAGCCCAACACTTTGGGAGGCCGAGGCAGGTGGATCACGAGGTCAAGAGATCGAGACCATCCTGGTCAACATGGTGAAACCCCGTCTCTACTAAAAATACAAAAAATTAGCTGGGCATGGTGGCGCATGCCTGTAATCCCAGCTACTCAGGAGGCTGAGGCAGGAGAATTGCCTGAACCCAGGAGGCGGAGGTTGCAGTGAGCCGAGATCGCGCCGCTGCACTCCAGCCTGGGTAACAAAAGCGAAACTCCGTCTCAAAAAAAAAAAAAAAAAAAAAATACAAAAATTAGCCAGGCATGGTGGCAGGTGCCTGTAATCAGAGCTACTCAGGAGGATGAGGCAGTGAATTGCCTGAACCCAGGAGGCAGAGGCTGCAGTGAGCCGAGATCATACCACTACACTCCATCCTGGGTGACAGAATGAGACTCCATCTCAAATAAAAAGAATTTCATTCCAAACCTCTAAGATTTCAGATGAACACATGTTACTCTAAACCGTATTGATTTCTATCTCAGATAATACAAGGGGAAAAAAAGCAACTGTGATGACATACACCATGGCCAGGTCCATTATGAAGATGTGCTCCTTGGGAACGATAGACAACGTAACAGGTATTTCTTCTTCCTTTTTTTCTTTCTGAGACAGAGTCTCGCTCTGTCACCCAGGCTGAAGAGCAGTAGTGCAATCATAGCTAATCAGAGCCTCAACCTCCTGGGCTCAAGCGATCCTTCCACTCAGCCTCCCAAGTAGTTGGGACTACAGGCGTGAACAACCATGCCTGGCCAATCTGTGTATTTTTGGTAGAGACTGGGGTTTGGCCATGTTGCCCAGGCTGGTCTCGAACTCCTAGGCTCAAGCAATCCACCTGCCTTGGCCTCTCAAAGCACTGGATTACAGGTGTGAGCTGCCAAGCCCAGCCGACAGATATTTCAGTAACGGGTGACCCATGGGGCATTTCAAGGAACCAGAGTCGAGACCAGGAACCTCCGACACAGTCAGTGGCTGCCACTCACCTCAGCAGCATCTGCAACTCTGCCTCCCGTGCCCGCTCCAACTGCAGCTGCTCCTCAATGGCCTGCTTCATCCAGGCCGCATCAGCCACAGCCCGCTCCCGCTTGGCCAGGTCGAGGCGCTGGCTCTCGTCCTCCTTCTCGAGGAGGGCCTGCAGAATCCGCCTGTCTGCCTCCTAGAAGAAGCAGAGGGCGGCACGTGGCTGGGCTGGACAGAGCCCTTCTGCAGCAAGAGCCTACACAGAGCCTATCACAGACATTCGGGATCCTACACAGCGTTCTCAAGATAGTGATGGGAAGATGCTAGATTATTTCTGAACAGACTGGGGATAAGCATGAGGGGTGGTTCAGACACTGCACAGGCCTAGGAGCTTCTCTCTGGCTAAAGGGAGACCCATGACCAACACATGCCCTCGGAAACATCTTGTTGCACTTTTTAGAATACAACTTGGCAAAAATCCCACTTGTAAGAACGAAGACCACAGTGACACAAAGGTGCAAAACACTCACTGCAGCTTTTATGTAAGAGGGAAAAACCAGAAACAACCAAAATGCTCATTGGTGGGGAATTAGCTACTATGTACATTGACATAATAGAAGCATTAAAAGAATGCAGGAGGATGGGCACCAAGGCTCATGCCTGCAATCCCAGCACTTTGGGAGGCTGAGCTGGGAGGATCACTTGAGCACAGGAGTTCAAGACCCGCCTGGGCAATGTCGCAAGACCCCCATCTCTACCAAACAAAAACAAACAAACAAAAAAAATCAGCCAGGCATGGTGATACACACCTATAGTCCTAGCTACTCAAGAGCCTGAGGTGAGAGGATGGCTTGAGCCTGGGAGGTCCCAATTGTGCCACTGCACTCCAGCCTGGACAACAGAGCAAGACCCCATACAAACAGGCTGCACACCAGGAGCAACCATGCTGATGCACCCCACGTCCTGCCCTGACTACAGAGGGCAGGGATGGGAAGGGCAGCTTGGGTCTGTCCCCTTCACAGCATGGGAGCTCATCAAAGTACTTAGGAATCCGACGGAGCTATTTGAAGAGAACAGGTTCAATCTAAGCATAATGATCTTTTGTTTGTGTTTTTGGGTTTTTTTTTTGAGACAGAGTCTCGCTCTGTTGCCCAGGCTTGAGTGCAGTGGTATGATCTCGGCTCACTGCAACCTCCGTCTCCTGGGTTCAAGCAATTCTCCAGCCTCAGCCTCCCAAGTAGCTGGGACTACAGGTGTGCACTACCGTGCCTGGCTAGTTTTCGTTTTTGTTTTGTTCTTTTTTGAGGCGGAGTTTCACTCTTCTTGTTCAGGCTGGAGTGCAGTGGCGCCATCTTGGCTCACCGCAACCTCTGCCTCCCGGGTTCAAGCAATTTTCTACCTCAGCCCCATGAGTAGGTGACATTACAGGCGTGTGCCACCACACCAACTATAGCTTTTGTATTTTTTTTTTTTTAGTAGAGATGAGGTTTCTCTACTAACCCCATCTCTACTAAAAATGGGGCCTCAAACTCCTGACCTCAGGCAGTCTACCCACCTCGGTCTCCCAAACTGCTGGGATTACAGGCAATGAGCCACTGTGCCTGGCAGAGCTTTTTAAAAATTATAGAGATTTAGTGTTAACTGAAGATGCTGAGGAATGCAACCTCAATTACATTTAAAAACAAAAACAAGGCTGGGTGTGGTGGCTCACGCCTGTAATCCCAGCACTTTGGGAGGCCGAGGCGGGTGGATCACAAGGTCAAGAGATCGACACCATCGTGGTCAACATGGTGAAACCCTGTCTCTACTAAAAATACAAAAAATTAGCTGGGCATGGTGGCGCGTGCCTGTAATCTCAGCTACTCAGGAGGCTGAGGCAGGAGAATTGCCTGAACCCAGGAGACGGAGGTTGCGGTGAGCCGAGATCATGCCATTGCACTCTAGCCTGGGTAACAAGAGCGAAATTCCATCTCAAAAAAAACAAAAAACAAAGACAAAAACAAACCTCTACCTCTCTGAATGTAAACATATCTAGAAAGATGTGCACCAGACAGACACCTCTGGGGACAGACAGAGATTGCAGGTGCTGGTCAAGGGGGTGATCTCACTTTGTGTTGTGCTGTTTTTTAAATAACAGGTTTATTGAAAACTAATTTGACGTTCTGATATCTATATCTCTCTGTGTATCACACACACACTGGAAAAGGATCCTTACGGTCAAGCTAATTACCATATCCTCACAGTTGCTTTTTGTGGTGACAACACTTAAGATTGACTCTCTTAGCAAATTTCAAGAATACAACACGGTGTCATCAGCTGTGGTCAACACGCTGGACCCTAGTCCCCAGAACTCCCACATCTCCAGAGGGATGGATGTACCCTCTGACCAACATCTCCCCTCTCCCATGACCCCTCTGTCTCTTTTCATTCTCACGAGAATGTACTCATATACTAAGAAATGGAAGACTTTTTTTTTTTTTTCTCAAAAAGAGGATGAGAAAGATGTCAGGCTGTCTCTTCAGACTTACCAGCTCCTCTTGGATCTGCTGTGTGCGTCTGTTGAGTTGGGCGTTATACTGATGTCTCAAGAAGCGCCTGAAGGAGAATCAAATGTGGGCTACCTTCAGTATCTCAGAAAGAATCAAACGGAAGTTAGACAACTGCTGACCACAGGGCGTCTCCTTTATGGTTTCAGCAACACGACTGCAAGTCTGAAAAGGCAAGAGGCCCACCCGCATGGGAAGAGTGGGAGGCCCTTCTGACACGCACCCCAGCTCCGCCTTCTCCCGGAAGGCTTCCATCTGCTTCCGCTCTTCCTCCAGCCTGTCCAGCTCCCACTGCTGCTTCAGCAGATTCTCCTGCTCCTTCTTTAGTTTGGTGGCCTGTGATGGTGAGTAAGCCCGACTGAGATCTGAGATGGTGGGAATCAGATCTTCCTTCATGCTCCATCTCCGTTTTTCTGACACTACGTGACGGTGGCCTGGCCACCAGGTGGTCACGATCCCCTCCCACCTCACTTACTCATCCCATCTCATCCAAGCCATTTCCCCAAAGGGCCTTTCTGAGTCCCAAACTCCCACAGGACCCTGTACTGGTCCACACTTACTATAACTTAACTGTCCTCTGCCTGACACAGCCTCCACCAGGAGGCCAGGCCTGTGGTTCTTGCTCAGGCTCTATCTCTAGCTCCAACCAGTGCTCGACACCTAGAATAAGTAGTGGGCACTAAGAACATAGTTGCTGAATCACTGGGCCTGGGTAAGGGGAAGTGGGGCCACAGGAGCATGGGACTCCCTCATCTAAATAGGAAAATCTAATTCTTTCAAGGGAACTGTGCTGTGTTCTCTAAAAACAGCCTCTGGACCAAAAAACCTCAGTTAGGCCTCGAGACCCAAAACCTGCTCCCCACAGAGCTGGGTGCTACATCACCCAATTAAATCGTGTCTACTTAGCGCACTGGAAAATCCATGTTCTAAGAATATTCTCCAGCAGCACGTTGCTGAGCACCTCTAGGAGGACAGCTACTGGCTCTGTGTCGTTAATGTTCTGGAATCCAGGCACACAGACGAGGAGAACGGCAAAGCTCCAGGCGGAAGGGGATGCATGTGAGACGGAGAACCTGGCTCCTGCTGCCCTTCCTAGGATCTCAGCCCTGCTACGGCCTCTCCTTAGGGCGGCCTCTCAAGTACCCATCTCATGCTAACGAGCAGCTATCGAGGAGGTCATGGCTGAGAGGGGCTCGTGCCCACCTCCACCTCCTTCAGCTTCAGCTCCTCCATCTGCTGCAGCAGCGCCTCGGCCTGGAGCTTGTCCTCCAGCTGCCTCCTCTCCTCTTCGGCTTTCATCCGTTCCAGCGCCTCCCTTCGGGCCTTTTCGTATTGGTTTTCATACCGTTTATTCTCTTGCTCTGCCGTGGCTTCTTGCTGCAAGGAGCCGAATGAACACAGGAGGTCAGTATCTGTACCATACACCAACAAAAACCCAGCTCCTGCCACCATTCTGCAGGCCACAGGGCCCAGGCAGTTCCTGCCTGAATCCCAAGTAAAAACGCCCTCAGAGATCAAGTCAGGGAGGGCCTTGATAATGGTGGGTTTCCACCCCACTCAACAAAATACTTTCCGAAGTCAATCAGGAGGCAAAGCGAGCGGTGCCTGGAGGTGTGGAAGCTCAACCCCAAAGGGGCTACTGTAAGCCAGGGCTGTGAGTTTACGATGCAAATTTCAACAGAAGGACAAAAATGCCCTTAAAGACACATGTTCTAGCTGGACCCTGTGGCCCACATCTGTAATCCCAACACTTTGGGAGGTTGAGGTGGGAGAATCGTTTCAGGCTAGGAGGCCAGACCAGCCTGGGCAACAGAGCAAGACCCCATCTCTATAAAAATTTAAAAATTAGCTGGGCGCAGTGGTGCATACCTGTGGTCCCAGCTACTCGGGAGGCTGAGGTAGGAGGACTGCTTGAGCCCAGGTGGTCGAGGCTGCAGTGAGCTGTGAATCACTGCAGCCCGGGTGACAGAGCAAGACCCTGTCTCCAAAAGAAAAAAAAGATGCATGCTCTACATGCCACCTCCCAGCCCTGGTCACCTGGCCTTACTCTGCCCTTGGAATGATCACATAGGATTCTAGTATGTATAAGAGCAAACATTTACTTTTCACATGTGTCAAGAAAACTGAGAAAGCGTCTACTGTACTCCTTAACTGGATTCACTGACATTGAAAACAGCAAACAGCCGGGCGCGGTGGCTCAAGCCTGTAATCCCAGCACTTTGGGAGGCCGAGGCGGGTGGATCACGAGGTCAAGAGATCGAGACCATCCTGGTCAACATGGTGAAACCTCGTCCCTACTAAAAAAAATACAAAAAATTGGCTGGGCATGGTGGCGCGTGCCTGTAATCCCAGCTACTCAGGAGGCTGAGGCAGGAGAATTGCCTGAACACAGGACGCGGAGGTTGCGGTGAGCCGAGATCGCGCCATTGCACAGACATGGACAGCCTCCCACCACAGAGTGCAGGGCTATTCCCAGAGTCACATACCACACCTGTTTTTTTTCTTCTTTCTGCATTTCCCAAGAGTTTACCACATGCTTCTGGTGAAGGTCCAGCTCCATCTGAGGACAGAAGTGGGAGGATGTGAGCTTCCTCACGGGACAGACAGGCACTATGGGGACAGTGTGCTGCTGCCCTCTGTGCTGACTGCTGGAACGTGGCCCTGACTGCCCTTCATGGGGACTCAGTGGCAGAGACATCCAATAGAGAGTGTGGGGTGACTCCAACATGTAGTGTGAAGGCAAGTCAATCAGAAGACCAAGGGACCAGGAGCTCCTGCACCAATCTCTGAGCCGGTACAAAGTAACAGAGACTTCCCTCCCACTAGCCCTGGGGTTGAGCTGGATGCTGAAATGGAAACACAATTTCAAAGGCCACCTCCGGCTGGTCTACTACATGCCAGGCCCTGGGAGACAGCTGGGTGAGGAGAAGACTCAACCCTGTGCCTGGCTCCCCAAAGCTTCCTCTGCAAAGCAGATGAGTATGTACTCCCTCTATCAAGTGATGTGCCAGTAGGTCCAGCAAGTTTGGAATTGTTAGCAAGAGATTTGGGTGCAGAGAATCTCCTGGATTAGAAAATGGATCACAACATTCAATCCAAAAGCTTTTGTTTTAAGAAACTGTTTATAAAATTAGCTAGATATGGTGGTGCCCACCTGTCTCAGCTACTCAGGAGGCTGAGTGGGAGGATAAGTTGAGCCCAAGAGTTCGAGATCAACCTGAGCAACACAGGGTGACCTCGTCTCTACAAAAAAGTTTTAAAATAATCTTTCCTGGCCGGGCGCGGTGGCTCACACCTGTAATCCCAGCACTTTGGGAGGCCAAGGCGGGCAGATCACGAGGTCAGGAGTTTGAGACCAGCCTGGTCAATATGGTGAAACTCCATCTCTACTAAGAATACAAAAAAGTTAGCTGGACATGGTGGCGTGTACCTGTAGTCCCAACTACTCGAGAGGCTGAAGCAGAAGAATCACTTGAACCCAGGAAGTGAGTTCAAGCTGCAGTGAGCCGAGCAAGATCACGACACTGCATTCCAGCCTGTGCGACAGAGTGACTGCCTCAAAAATAAATAAATAAAATATTTCCCAACTTACAACTGAACATATGCTATGCAACTAACTTGAATGTTCTGAATAAACTTTTCTGAGTAAACGGCTCTGGATGCCAACTACACCAATGCCAACAGGACTAAGGAGTCCTCCCAGAGATTGGTGTGAACTGCACAAAAGCACTAGATCCTCCATTAGTTAGCGCCTGGTGGTTTCTTTTTTTTTTCTTTTTTTTTTTTTTTTGAGGAGGAGGAGTTTCGGTCGTTACCCAGGCTGGAGTGCAATGGCGCGATCTCGGCTCACTGCAACCTCCGCCTCCTGGGTTCAGGCAATTCTCCTGCCTCAGCCTCCTGAGGAGCTGGGATTACAGGCACGTGCCACCATGCCCAGCTAATTTTTTGTATTTTTTAGTAGAGACGGGGTTTCACCATGTTGACCGGGATGGTCTCGATCTCTTGACCTCGTGATCCACCCGCCTCGGCCTCCCAAAGTGCTGGGATTACAGGCTTGAGCCACCGCGCCCGGCCGCGCCTGGTGGTTTCTAAATGTAACTATGAATAATGTGAAGGCATCAAATGTATACAAAAACTGTAAGTTGAAAATAAATGAATGATAACAGTGAGGGATGATCTCCCTCCAGCCAAATCTCCACTGAACAATGCCACCAAGCCAAGAGGTCACCCCTCTCCTGCAGTTTGTCCCCCTCTCCCCTGCCAACCCAGTTCAGGCCTTCACTGGGCTGGGCTGTCACAGCACCCCTCCCTACCCACCAGCACATTATTGCCAGAGGTATCCCTTTGAAATGCAGCCAGGATCCTGTGTGCCACCGCCCCCCCAGCACCTTCAGAGGAAGGTCACAGAAGCTCTTCTGACGTCTGGCACCATCCACCTCGCCAGCATCAGCTCTTGGAGTTCTCCTTATCTGACATCCTAGCCTCACCGGCATACTTTCAGCTCTCAGGCCTCACTCCGCTCTTAAGTCTCAGGCCGGTTCTCACAGTCATGTGAACCTAGAACATCCTTTCCTCCCCTTACACACATCCCTTCAAACTAGTTCACCTCAGGAACTCCCCTGGGAAGCATCCCCGACCCCTCCAGAGTTGAGTGCACTGGCCCAAGCCCATCTTCTCAGGCCGGCCCAGCACCCTGCATCTGGCCCTGTAATGAGCTACCACTGTCTCCCATGCTGGACGAAAGCTTATGAGCAGAAAACACGTCTAATCTCCATGCCCCCACCTGGTAGACCAGGCAGCCACGGTTCAATCAACACTTGTTCAACAACTGAATGAACCGCTCAGTGCAGCCTGCGCCAGATCTTCCGCCTGCTGCTCTTTTCAGGCAGCTCAAGGTTCCCTCCTGTTTCAACCCAGTACAAGATACGTGGTAAAAAAAAAATGTCTGGAAACATGATTCCATCTACTTAGGCAAATCAATGGAGGTCTCTGACTTTCACCTCTCGAAGTCTCGGGTTGTTCTTTTTCCAGTGTTCATACAAAAGTTGTTCAGCAATCTATCAAGAAAACACAGTGGAAAGCCTGATGTCACTTTTCAAATCCATCCACATTTTGGGTGACACACACAAGTCAGCTCAAGCCACAGGTGCCTCCATTCACAGTCACTGCACCCACTGCTCAAACCCTGGTGCTTCACACGCACAGCTCTGAGAACCACATGACACTTATGAGTGACTCTGGCAATGGTGACAAAAGGAGGCCAAAATCTGATGCTACTACACAGAGGTCCTATCTAGGGGGTCTCAAAATAACACAGCAGGGTAACAAGCACAGACTGGGGCTCACTGTTTCACACAACTACTTCGGAAGATAAGACAGACTAGTCCCAGATCTTTGTGGGCCCACATAACCAGAAGCAAGGAAAAGTCCCAGATGTAATGATTTAAGGGGCTAAAGGGAATACAGCTGACTCATCCAAAACCCAGTCCCTGCACAAGGACTTAAGTTCTTTTCCTGCTGGCTCTGGAGTTAACTGGCATCTCATCAGACCTGAGTACCCAGGAATGACCCTACATGTGCGACACACACAGGCTCCTGAAGGCCTCTGGCAAGTTACCAGTTTCCTCTGCTCTTCTCTAGCTGATTTCAGATTCCTGTGCTGCTCCCGGACTCTTCTTTCCCTCAAGTTCATGCTCAGCCTCAGCTCCTCCAGTTCTCTGGCCAGCAGGTCCTGCTCCTCCTGCATGAGCTGCCTGAGCTTCTCCCGCCGGACCTCCAGACTCTTCCTCTTCTCCTCCTTCATCTTCTCACGCTGATAGGCGTGCATGCTGGGTGAGAGGGAGCCCGCCTGAATCAATCATGCCACAGCCACAAGGAGCATACTCTGCTCTGCTGTGTGGGTAAGAGGCTGAGGTAGGTATGTCATGGTGACACAGGAATGTGTCCCCAGCCAAAGTGAAGAGAACAGGTAACAGAATAGTATGCATAAGAGAAAATCTTGTTTTTGTTGTTTTTTTAGTTGAGAAATGTTAAGAAAATCTTGTTTTTGCAAAAAGAAAATGTATAAATAATATATATATTATCTATCACATAAATCCTACGGTGTAGGTCTGCTATAGCCCTACTTGACTGATGAGGAAACCAAACCTCATGCATTCAGCAAGAGACATAGTCAGGATTTCCATCTAGGTCTATCTGACTTTAAAGCCTATGCTTTTGGCCTCCATGTTTTTACAGGAATTTCTATAAAAGCAGGTTTGTGTGTGTGTGTATTTAAGTATAAATACCAATGGGAAAAGGCATGGAAGGATATGTGCCAGACTTAACTGTGGCTCTCTCTGGGGAATGTGAGGTTACAAGGAGGCTTATGAATTCTATCATACGCTTCTGCATCATTTTTTCTTTTTTTCAGTGCCAATGTATACTGCACTGATGATCTATTTTTTCCCTTTCCAACTGGAAAAACATCATTATGCAGGTAATCCATGCTGCCTGGCAAATCCTATGCTCCCTGAATTCTTAAGGCCTCATCCCCTGACCAGCAGCAAGCGGCCCCCACCTCCATCCAATCGTCAGTCACTGCACAATTACCTCCGCTGGTAGGAGGTTTTAGAGCTCCACTCTGCCTGCTTGGAGCTGCAGATGTCAGACATCCTGAAGTAACGGCTGTTCTGCTCCCACTGCTGCCGAAGCCGGGCCTCCTGCTCTCGCTGTCGTGCTAGCTGCTGACTCAGGCGCTGCTGGCTGCACCAGTAGGACGGCAACGTGGGGAGCGCCATCTGAGAGCAGGAATGGGAAGAAAATGAAGCACATTTTGCAAATCTCAGGAACCCTCACCAGCCTCACCTCAGCCCTTGGCTGCTCAGTGAAATCACCTGGTGGAACTTTACCTTAGTGGGGCCCAGGTACCAGCATTTTAAAAAATGATTTGCCACGAGTGCTGCAAATTATCAATTAAATAAGCCTTAGCCAGATGTGGTAGCTCAGGCCTATAATCCCAACACTTCGGGTGGCTGAGGCAGGAGGATCACTTGAGCCCAGGAGTTGGAGACCAGGCACATCATGAGACCTCATCTCTACAAAAAAATCAAAAATTAGCCAGGAGTGGTGGCATGCCTGTAGTCCCAGCTACTCAGGAGGCTGAGGCAGGACTGCTTGAGCCCAGGAGGTCAAAGCTGCAGCAAGCGATGTTAACGCCACTGCACTCAGCCTGAGTGACAGTGATTTTTTTGTTTCAAAAAAGCAAAAACATCAAAAAAAATCAGGACTGCATGCAATTGTGGGCCAGCCATTACTAGGGACACAACAGACAGGGACAGGGATTGTCCTAAGATTGCTAGACTAGGCACATCAGGGGCATTTATGCTCTGCTTAAACAGAGACAAAATGTAAGGAACACGTGTGTGCCAAGCCCTCAATACATATTACTTTTTTCATTCTTACAATCACCTTGTTATTTGGCAAGGAGGGAACAAGTTGGAAGAAGTGAAGTGATTTGCTCAAGATAGCAGATCCAGGAAGCAGAGGAAATAAAAAAGCATGATCCGGCCGGGCGCAGTGGCTCACGCCTGTAATCCCAGCACTTTGGGAGGCCGAGGCGGGCAGCTTGCCTGTGGTCAGGAGTTCGAGACAAGTCTGGCCAACATGGTGAAACCCTGTCTCTACTAAAAATACAAAAAAAATTAGCCGGGCGTGGTGGCGTGCGCCTGTAATCCCAGCTACTTGGGAGGCTGAGGCAGGGGAACTGCTTGAACCCGGGAGATGGAGGCTGCAGTGAGCCGAGATCACGCCACTGCCCTTCAGCCTGGTGTGTCTCAACAACAACAAGCATGATCCTAATTCATGTCCCTCTGAGACCAGCGCCCAGGCTCTCTACACTGCAAGGGGGCTGCCTGTTGGGACCAACACGCCCTGGCTCTGACAGCCCCTGAGGAGGGGCCTAGCCCAATGTAACACTCGGAGGTATTTTGGGCTACCATGAAGGACAGACCTTTCATCTTGAAGATGAAGCAACTGAGACCCAGAGAGCGGAATTGCCTGAGCAATGTAGGGATACAACTGGAGCCCTGAAAGCAGAGAGCAGTCTCACTCCAGGCACCGATTCCCCTGACTCAAAGGTGTCCTTAAGTGCAGGGTCGACGCAGTGCATGGGTAGAAACGCCTGTTGAATGAGCGAAAAGGCTTGATCCATGCCAAGAATCTCATACTCGGGGTCCTCCAGGGTTGGGGACAAACACTCTGCGTCTATGGTCCAAATGCAGCCGGCCGGGGGCTAACGTGTGACCTCGGTCTCGAGGCCGTGGTAGGCTTCATATTCTTCTTCCCTGTCCCGTAAAGCCGCCAGTGGATCAATCTTTGCATCGAGAGTCAAAAGTTTTAAGATTCTGGTCCTGGATTGGCCACCCACAAGCTGGACTGCTCCCCAAACACGTCGCATCCCTCTCTCGACCTGAACAGGTACGTGCAACAAAAGGGGTCACAGCGCATCGGAGGACCCTAAGCGCCCAGAGCTCGCGTCCGCGGACTCCCGCCCCAGTTCCCGCCCGCGCGGGCCGCCTGTGCTCAGAACCCTGTGGGCCCCCGCCCTAACGCCGGATCCGGCAGAGTCCAATCCCCCGACTCACTTTTCTCTGCGTCTTGGAGTTTCCAAAGAATCCCCCGGCCCGAGTTCCCGCAGGCACGAAGCGGGCCGGCCAGTTCCCAGGCGTACTTCCCAGACGCGTTAGAGCAACAGCAGCATTCTCCTTCCTGATTGCGCCGGCAACGGCCCCCAACGACGGAGCGTCGCAAGGGCCAAGCCTCTTTCAGCGCGAAGGGAGACTGTTTTTCTCTGGTGCCCCCTCGTGGTCGCGGGGAGATAAATAGCAAACGTCGCTGGTCTTTGAAACAGGGAAGGTTGGAGGCAAAGAAACCGTACGTGCACTACCCGTATTTCAGGATGGTGATTATCTTCACCTGAAGGTGAAGGCGGAAACCAGGGGGAAGAGAAGTTAAGCCAGTGCTTCTCAAACCTGGCTGCGCATGAAAATCACCAGATATCAGCCTGCGCAACATGGAGGGACCCCTGTCTCTAAAAAAAAAAAAATTTTTTTGGCCGGGCGCGGTGGCTCAAGCCTGTAATCCCAGCACTTTGGGAGGCCGAGGCGGGTGGATCACGAGGTCGAGAGATCGAGACCATCCTGGTCAACATGGTGAAACCCCGTCTCTACTAAAAATACAAAAAACTAGCTGGGCGTGGTGGTGCGTGCCTGTAATCCCAACTACTCAGGAGGCTGAGGCAGGAGAATTGCCTGAACCCAGGAGGCGGAGGTTGCGGTGAGCCGAGATCGCGCCATTGCACTCCAGCCTGGGTAACAAGGGCGAAACTCAGTCTCAAAAAAAAAAAAAAAAAAAAAAAAAATCCAAGCCGGGCGCGGTGGCTCAAGCCTGTAATCCCAGCACTTTGGGAGGCCGAGGCGGGTGGATCACGAGGTCAAGAGATCGAGACCATCCTGGTCAACATGGTGAATCCCCTTCTCTACTAAAAATACAAAAAAAAAAAAAAAAAAAAAAAAAAAAAATCCAGATGCCTAAACCAAACGCCAAATCCCATCTGACAGTACCAGTGTTTTCCAAAATTCCCCATGGGGGGGTTAAATGTACAACCTGGGCAGAGACCTGCTGGCATAAGTAGATGCAAGTTACTGGTAACTTTCTATTGTAATCTTATATCGGTGGTGAGTTCAAGAGTGTTCATTCTATTAGTAAGTTTTATAATGCATGTGTGCTACAAGTATCATATTAAAAATAGTTGTGCTACAACTATTCTATTAAAAAGAAAATAAACATATTTACTTGTTTGTTCTCTTTCATTTTCCCATTCTTTCCTTTGTTTCTTCTTCCCTTCATTTCTCTATTCTTTATTCATCTCTCTTTTTCCTGGATGCAGCATGCTGGCCTTGGCTGCGTGCAGTGGCTCACGCCTGTAATCCCAGCATTTTGGAAGGCCGAGGTGCGCGGATCTCTGGAGCCCAAGAGTTCAGGACTAGCCTGGACAACAAGGCGAAATACCATCTTTACAAAAAAAATAAAAAATTAGGCCAGGCACAGTGGCTCATGCGTGTAATCCCAGAACTTTGGGAGGCCGAGGAGGGTGGATTACCTGAGGTCAGGAGTTGAAGACCAGCCTGGCCAACATGAGGAAACCCCATCTCTACTAAAAATACAAAAATTACCCGGGTGTGGTGGTGTATACCTGCAGTCCCAGCTACTGGGGAGGCTGAGGCAGAAGGATCATTTGAACCTGGGAGGCAGAGGCTGCAGTGAGCCAAGATTGTGCGGCTGCACTCCAGCCTGGGCAACAGAGTGAGACTCCATCTCAAAAAAAAAAAAAAAAAAAGCTGGCTGTGGTGGCACACACCTATAGTCCTAGCTACTCAGGAGGCTGAGGTGGGAGAATCACTTGAGCTTAAGATGGGAAGCCTGCAGTGAGCTGTGATCACACCATTGCACTCCAGCCTGGGTGACACAGTGAGACCCTGTCTCAAAACATGGCCTCTATAGTCAGAATGCCCGGGTTTCAAGCTATATCATGCTGATGTAGTCTTGGGCAGGTCACTTTATCTGACTGTGCCTCAGCTTCCTAGTGTGCAGAATGGGAGTAAAAATAGTGAAACTTTCAGGCTGGGCGTGGTGGCTTATGCCTGTAATCTTAGCACTTTGGGAGGCTGAGGTGGGAAGATCTCTTGAGGTCAGGAGTTTGAGACCAGCCTGGCCAACCTGGTGAAACCCCATCTCTACTAAAAATACAAAATAGACAGGCGTGATGGCGCGCGGCTGTAATCCCAGCTACCCTGGAGGCTGAGGCAGGAGAATTGCTTGAACCCAGGAGGTGGAGGTTGTACTAAGGCAATATCGCGCCATTGCATTCCAGCCTGGGTGACAGACCAAGACTCTGTCTCAAAAACAAAAAACAAATAAACAAATAAAAAAACGGGCACAGTGGCTCAAATCTGTAATCCCAGTACTTTGGGAGGCCTAGTTGGGCAGATCATGACATCAGGAGATGGAGATCAAGACCAGCCTGACCAACATGGTGAAACCCTACTCTACTAGAAATACAAAAATTAGCTGGGTGTGGTGGTGCATGCCTGCAGTCCCAGCTACTGGGGAGGCTGAGGCAGGAGAATCGCTTGAACCCAGGAGGTGGAGGTTGCAGTGAGCCGAGATCCCACTGCTGCACTCCAGCCTGGTGACAGAGTAAGACTCTGTCTCCAAAAAAGAGAGAGAGAGAGAGAGAGAGAGAGAAGTGTAACTTTCTAGCATAAGTGGAGCATGCCCAGGAGTAGAGCATCTGTGCATCCCAGGGGAGCCCAGACTTGAGCCTCTTTCACATGTCCCTTTAGTTAGCACCTGTTTAATCAGGGGCTGTCCCACCCTGGGCATAAGAGTCCTCTAGTTGCTCTCCCATTGGTTCCTACCCCCTTGGCCAAATTCATGGCCACTCTTTCATGTTGTGTCCCCAGTGCAGAGGGGAGGCAGCAGCCCCCTTCAGTCACTTGGCAGAGATGCCCACCCAACAAAGGAAACCAGCACATAAATGTCTGTCAACAGGAACTTCAGAAACATGTGAGTTGGGCCAGGCACAGTGGCTGAAGCCTATAATCCCAGTATTTTGGGAGGCCAAGGCAGGTGGATCACTTGAAGTCAGAGTTCCAGACCAGCCTGGCCAATGTGGTGAAAACCCTCTTGGGCAAGTCCCTTCCACTCTCTGGGCCTCAGTTTCCTCATCTTTGTAATAACCAGATAAGCTCCACTAGTGGAACTTTAGGGCTTAGGGCTTGACCAGCATGCGGGGGGCAACCATTCCCAAGTGGCCTGATCCTGGTCACAGCCTCCACCCTCTTTTGCTGACCAGACATCCTCACCCCCCGACCCCACACACACCTCTTGATTACACAACTATTAAGCAACTTTAAAAGTATCTTTTCCTTTGTTCCCTTGGATATTCTATGAGATTGTCCCCATTTTAGAATTGCCTAAACTAAGCCTCGAAAGGTAACATGACTTGCCTGAGGAGCTGCAGCTAACAGGTGGTTGAGCCAGGATTTGAAACCAGTTCCATCTGACCCCAGCGCCTGGACCCTCCTGCTGCACCACAAGGGCAGGGATCATCGTGTTCCTTGCTGCAGTCCCGCCTGGTACGTGATAGACAATCAATCTATCAATCTATCTGTCCGTCTGTCTATCTATCCATTTGTCTGCCTATCTAGAGAGAGTGAGAGTCTCACTCTGTCGCCCAGGCTGGTGGAGCACAGCAGCAAGATCTGAACTCACTGCAGCCTCCGCCTCCTGGGTTCAAGTGACTCTCCTGCCTCAGTCTCCCGAGTAGCTGAGATTACAGGCACCTACTACCATGCCCGGCTCATTTTGGTATTGTTTTTTAGTAGAGGTGGGGTTTCACCATGTTGCCCAGGCTGCTCTTGAACTCTGACCTCAGGTATTAGCCTCCCAAAGTGCTGGGATTACAGGCGTGAACCACCATGCCTGGCCTCAATCAATATTTGTGTTGAGAATGAAAGAGTAAATGGATCCCCAGCTTTGAGTACCTTCTTCTCCTTCTCCAAAGGAAAAATGAATCTATGGTGTTAAGAAAAAGCAAAAAGAAGAAAAGGAATGAGCATTTCTTAAATATCTGCTATGCATCCGGTGCTTTGAGATATATTACCTCATTTAAGCCTCCCTCCAACCTGGGAGGAATGTGTTCTTGCCCCATTTTGCAGATGAGGGTGCTGAGGCTTGGAGAGGTGAAGCAATGCTCTTGAGGTCACACAGCAAAGACTATAAAAGCCAGGATTTACAACCAAGCTCTGAGACTGTGAATCCCTCTTCAGTGTGTTTTTCTGGGAGTTTGGGGCTTGCAGATGTACCGCTCTTTTTCTTTTTTCTTTCTTTTTTTTTTTTTTTTTTTTTTTTTTTTTTTTTTTTTTTTGAGATAGAGTCTCGCTCTGTTGCCAGGCTAGAGTGCAGTGGCAAGATCTCGATTCACTGAAACCTCTGCCTCCCAGGTTCAAGTGATTCTCCTGCCTCAGCCTCCCAAGTAGCTGGGACAACAGGCATGTGCCACCACACCCAGCTAATTTTTGTATCTTTAGTAGAGACGGGGTTTCACCATGTTGGCCAGGATGGTCTCGATCTCTTGACCTCATGATCTGCCCTACTTGGCCTCCCAAAGCACTGGGATTACAGGCATAAGCCACCACGCCTGGCCAGGTATGGCTCTTAAAAGAGGCCTGAGTCTGGGCACAGTGGCTCACGCCTGTAATCCCAGCACTGTGGGAGGCCAAGGCAGGCACATCACTTGAGGTCAGGAGTTGGAGACCAGCCTGGGCAACATGGTGAAACCCCCGTCTCCACCAAAAAATACAAAAATTAGGTATGGTAGTGCTTGCCTCTAGTCCCAGCTACTTGGGAGGCTGAGGCAGGAGAATCACTTGAACCCAGGAGGTTTCCACCTCCTGGGAAGAATCACTTTCCCGGGAAGTTGCAGTGAGCTGAGATCGTGCCACTGCACTCCAGCCTGGGCAACAGAGCAAGACTCTGTCTCAAAAAAATAAAGAGGACTGCAAATGTGAACCAGATGAGTTCACATACAAAGAATTTGGTGATATGAAATATTCAATGACAGGTCAATGACTATGGTGTGCATGGGGCTGAGAGGGGAAGCCCTGGTCAGAATCCTCAGGTTGGGGGCTGTTCCTGGACTTGGGAATTTGGGTATCCTAGTATGGGAGGAGAAAACAA